GCCCCTATGCACCCCTGAGTGTGGCTTTTGCCCAAGCCTCTCCCCAAAACTACTAGCCATTCTTTTAACCACCCTGAAGCCCTCTCCCATGCATTGGACCAAATGAAACAATAGCTTTTGCAGCAAAGATAAAATAAAAATGTATAACAGACACTGGGCTCACTGGCTCATTTTTAACATATATTAAATGCCCAATGTACACACTTTTAAACATGAAAAATCTGATTTTTGGAAGCACTCCTTTGGGAAAAAATAAACATGTAAATATAAAAACAAATTGGCTCCAATCTAATCTCTAACACAATGAAGAGAAAAACCACACAAGAGCAACAAAAGCAAATAACGAAATAGGCCCCCGCAACAATTAAAATGAAGCCGGACCCAGGAGAGAACGGACGGGGCGACCGACAGACCCCCGACCAGCAGAGACAAAAGGCTGTGGTGTCAGCAAGCAAGCAGCAGGCGAGCGCATGGCATAGGGAGAAATCCCAGGAGACGGCTCCCACTTAATGATGCGCTAACACACGCAATTAGGCTGCACAAACTAGGCTCATCAGTACAGCCACCTCGTCCTGGACACTCCGTAATTAGGACCGAGAGCCGCAGACGTCATTGTGAAATGAGACTCTTTGTACATCAGGGCTTCAATCTGCGGAAGCAGAGGATGGAAAGCTAACTCAGGCTCCTGATGTACTGCGTGACCTTGGGCAAGTACCGCATGACCTTGGGCAAGTCACAAGACCTCTCCTGCTCAACCCCCAGGATGGGTGGTCCATGTCCAGGTGAGCCGTCCCCAGGCAGGAGTGAGTGGCTTCCAGAGAAAGTGCTTTCCAGAATGTTAACTGCAGCACCTGTGAAGAGCAGGTGAAGGGCCTAGAGCGGGAGGACTGTCAGGGACACTACCCCCCAGGACCACACACACAGCATTAGCAATCGGCAGACACAGCCCTTTAAATGCCACGGCCCAGCTTCGCACCCAAGTGTACGTAAGACGTAAGACGGAAAGGTCTCCCATATGAGATCGCCAGTCTATCCAGTGATCCCTGACAAACAAGTGACTAAAACCTACAGTTTTGAGGAGAATTAAGGGGACACACAGTAATTTGTAATTTATGTAGATTTTGGCTTATACAGATTTTTTTTTAATCCTTACCTGGGGATATGTTTATTGATCTGAGAGAGAGAGAGAGAGAGAGAGGGAGAAACATCAATCGGCTGCCTCCTGTACATACCCCCATGGGTGTTGAACCCTCAACTCAGGTATTTGTCCTGACTGGGAATTGAACCCACAGCCCTTTGATATACAGGACGACACTCCAACCAACTAAGCCACCAGGCCAGAGCGGCTTACTCCAATCTTGCTTGACTTGTTCTCACAATTACTGTCAGAGCAAAATGTTGATGTAAGTTTTCTTACCGTCCTATGAATACAATGAATACAAGCTTGGAAGGTAACAGATTAAAGCTTTGGTGGGGGTTTACCTTCGTTAAACAGGATGCTTTGACTTGATATTTAACAAATAACTAGAATTTTAAAATATACATACAAGAGTGTTAAATTCTGCATACAAAACAACTCACATTGGGATGCATAATAGAACAATACGCACATAAAATGAAACTGTTTGCAATTCAGATAAGTCTGTATTAGCTCCCTCTGGGAGAGGGAGGAGGAAGGGAGGGAGGGAAGGGGATGAGGGAGGGAGGAGGGTGGTGGGGCTTACAGTTTCCTTGATCAAAAATTTAACACAAGTGTTTGTGCACCACCTAGCTGTGCTCATTCTGTATGAGAGGAAACCACTCTTCCTCACGCAGGATCTTCACTGAACTATCACATGAAAGTCAGATACTATAGTTAAACATTTGTTAAAAAATACCCCAGAACATCGGGGGTCCACTGGATATCGTCAATAAAATGTCAAAACAAACAAAAACGGACTCTCCCTCGTCCTTAGAGAAGGAGCTGAGGACACCGTGGTAGTCACCACACTCCCCAAAGCCCACTGCGCGCCACTGTCACCCACGGCAGAGCAGGCTGCAGACACGGCACTGGCAGGTAACAGCATTTGAAAAGACTTAAATTCATAATTTCTGAAACCCAGCTGCAGGAACGAAAATCCCACACGCTCCGTCACGAAGACCACGGCGAGTCCACCATCCTCCTCCCACATGGAGCAGGTGAGGCTCCCAGGGGCCTGGGTACCACCTGCCCCAGCCCAGCCCTCCCCTCCGCAGCCAGGGGGCAGTCTACAGTTCTGGGTGACTGTCCCAGGTTCTCCCCTACGGGGCTTCCATGTCACCAAGGCTTCCCATTGCATCCCCATCCCTAACCAGAGCTGGAAGGCTGGTGCTCAAATTGGGAATGAATGAATGAACGAACGAACAAATGAACCAACCTACTTCCCTGCCTCCTGACATGCTTACTGCTAACAGAGACCCTCCCAATAGCCATTGACCACCACACGAATGAAGCAAAGGAAACAGATGTTCTGTTTTCCTATTATTTTCACAATTTACTTTCAGTTTCAGGGCACAGGAAGTCAAAGGTTAAAGAGGTAAAGAATCCAGTCCCTGGTCACTTAAAAAACAAACCCAGATGGCCAGCCGGCTGGGCGCTCAGCCTGTGGGGCGGCTGGGATTGAATATGTAACGCCCCAGGCCTGTTTCCTTCTTCTATTGATAAGCTAAATGTTAATAGGAATACTACATTTTTTCTTTATCTTCTTTCTGAAAAGCAAACACATAAACTGTGAATAAATAAAAATGCCGAGGCATACAGGAGGCCAGAAAGTCCAAGGAGAGAGCCACGTACTGAGTCTGCGCGTGGACAGTGAGCCAGCGCCCGGGGCCATCCCCCTGCCCAGGCCTCCCCCGCGGTGGCAGGACCGGGGTTGCGTCCACTAATGACGACACGGTTAAGGCTCTAGCTCTAGGCTCAGGGTCCCAAGACGGGATCTAACCCGGGCGCAGCACCTTTGGTCAAGCGACGTAACTTTTCTGAGCTTCGATATCTAACTCTAAACTTGACAAGGTTTCTCCTTGTAATGAAAACGGACAGTTCCTGTTAATGATGGGAAGTGCTGAGGATGGTCCCCACTCGGTTAGCAACTACTTCGACTAACAATTACAGAGTCCATGACTTAATTAAAAATACACACACACACACACACACACACACACACACGCTATATAATTACCATATGAAATGTGCTAAGTAACCTCAATTTTATTTTTAAAACTTACTGCTTGGCCGGCATAACTCAGTGGGTTAGCACTGACCTAGGAACCAGAAAGTTACGGCTCGATTCCTGGTCAGGGCACATGCCCGGGTTGCGGGCTTGATCCCCAGAGTGGGGTGTGCAGGAGGCAGCCGATGGATGATTCGGAGAGAAGTCTGTTGACAGGAGCAGGCAGCTGGCTGGACCTGGACCTGGGCCTGGGCCTAGTGAGGACCCTTCACTGACATTTCACCTAAACGTTCAGGGGGTCTGGGCCCCGCGATGTGAATGGGGACCCTGCCTGTCGGGACCTGAAGAAGCCCACGCGCCTCCGTGTCCAGTGCTTCCCAGCTGGCTGACGCTCTCAGAGCCACCAGTGCAGTGTGGCCCTGCACGTGCGGCCACAGGTTTTAATTGGGGGTTTGCCCCCCCCAGAGGCCCTGGGAATGGCCTGAGGAGGCCCATGTAAATGTGAGGGACTCGATCTTTGAAATTTAATAAAATGCTACTACAGAGTGGTATTCCTTCAATTTCATCTGAACACTAATTTGGACATTGGAAAGAAAAGCATACAGTCCCGGTTTGGGGGAAGTTACCCCCCGTTTTACTAATATTCGCAGGTCTCCGCCAGGGCTGGTGCAGAACAAGGCCTCTGTGACCTCTGGGCGGCTCGGGCAGCCTCTCAAGACACCACGCCCGCTGCCCGCTCTGCCCCAGCCCCATGGCATCACAGCTGTGGGACAGGGAGGTGGGGCTGCCACCGAGGACTTAAACCAGAAGGGAGGGGACCCGGGGTTATTTCCTAGGAATCCCATCTAAAACGGGACACATGGCCTGGCCAGGGTTGCTCAGTGGTTGAGCGTAGGTAGCCCTATGAACCAGCAGGTCACAGTTCAATTCCCAGTCAAAGCACATGCCAGTTGTGGGTTCCATCTCCAGTAGGGGGCGTGCAGGAGGCAGCTGATCAATGATTCTCTCTCATTATTGATGTTTCTATCCCTCTCCCTTCCTCTCTCTGAAATCAATATTAAAGGGGGCGGGGGAGATATGGGACAGATGATGGGACCATCTTTCTCCCAGGTCTTCAACCATGAGTCAGTCACCTTACCCCCGACCTTCTAGAACCCTCCAGGCTATAGGCCACCCTTCCCTCCTGCCATCAGTCCCCTCTCCCACCTCACAGTGGCATTACAATTATCCATGTGAGCAGTCACCCCTCGGGAATGGCACGCTCCCTCCGCAGGACAATGTCCTCTCTGACCTGTGGCCGTCCCTGAAGGCAGGAGTTCAACAATGAACCCAGTCACAGAGACCATTCCTAAACGTCATGCAGCCCCACCCTGAGTCTGAGTGTGTGTTTTTGTTTTTTTGCCCAAACTGGACTTATTTCTTTCAGCTTATTCTCCTCAAAGACGAACATGAAGTATCTAAACCTTTTGGAGAGATGGGCGTGAATTGGGACTGTGAACCGCGGTGCAGAAGAAATGGCGCCACGCGTAACTGTGACCACCGTGTGCACAAACAGTTCGAGAAGCGTTTCATCACGAACACAATGCGGCGCCGTGATGGGACACAGAATTGGCTGCGGGACTGCTTCAGAGGCCAGAGGGGGGGTTATGTCCCATCGAATGAAGGTGCCACTTGGAGCGGCACAGAACTGGCATCGCCCCTGGAATGCGGAGCTCAGACTCGCCCCCAGTGCCCGCACGTCAGAGGACTCTGCCCTGCGTGGACGCGGCCTGCTGTGTGGGAAGCGGCGCTGTGTGCACGGCGGGCACTCACCGTCCTGAAAGACCCTCTCCACGTTCAGGCCGTACGTGGCACACGTCTCGTAGTACGTGCACCGCTTCAGGTCGCTGGAGAGCTTCCGCGCCCGGGAGTCGTCGATGACCCGCGGGTTGGTGGAACTGATGGCGTCTGGAACAGACAAATGCATAGGCGACACGGTGACCACACGCGGCTGCAATTCCTGCCACAACCTAAGATCACAGAGTAGCCAAAACCTGCACCTTCCCTGTAGGGACAGGATCCTTTTCCAAACCTGGAGTTTTTAAAATACAGTCTAACCCCCGCAATCTTCATGTCACACGCTAGACTAGTCGTCACTAACAGAAGTCTGTTTCCAGGGATCCTGCTTCTGAATGGAATAAAGGACTGCCCAGAAAGACCAGGGGAAGGAGTGGGAGTTAAATGTGGCCCCAGAGGAAAAGATGTGAAACAGGGAGAGCCCCAGGGTTGCTGTCTGCACGTGACCTGCTGATGCCCAAAGCACGTGCTGAAAGCATCCTGCACACCAGCAGGTCCCTCGGTGCCCACCAGCACCACGCTCACGGCCTCCGTGGGAGTCTGATCCGGTTCCAGGCACAGATGGCCCAGTTTACACAGCAGGCAAAACCCTACACTCCCAGGGGGGTATCCAAGTCGGCTGGGGAGGGAGGAGAAAACAATAAAGATGAGGAATGAGACAGATGCAGGGCGCTGCTGGGGTCTGAGTGGGACGGGGCGGGATGAGGAGGTCAGGGAACTCCTTTCTGTCCCACTCGTCTTCCGAGATGCGCTGTCACCAACAGAAGGGGGCCTGGCCACCCTGCCCTCAACGCTGCAGCGCGATCCTCTCCCGTTTCCATTCATTTGTAACTGCGTCTTTCTATAGGTCCTGCTTCTCCCTCAGACCAACTTAATCTGCAAGCCTTGAAAAAAGACCTGCTTAGCAAATGTCACAATCACCTCATCCAGAAATGAGGTCCATATGCCCGACTGTCCTGGAGAGAGGACCCATTCTCCAGCCTCCTCCCACGCCGGCTGAGCCCCACAGCAGCCCTTAAGGAAGGAACTTAACTCATTGTCCCCATCCGCCACCTCCAGACCTGAGGGGTCCAGATGCTGGGGCTCAGACTCTCCCCTCTGCTCCTGACCCCGTGAACACTGATGTGTAAAGTAACGCACCACTCCGATAGAACCTTTGGCCCCACTGAAAGCTCACCCACTCCCTGTTCTGGTGAGCCTCCAGCAAAAAGGCACGTGAGTCCTCAACGCGACCCCCTGAACTCGGGCAGCTGGTGAGGAGACACCCACAGAGCCTGACTTTGCTCAGAAATACCCTGGGCAGGCTGAAGGGGCGTATTGGAAATGAATCGCTTCATCTTTAAGGCGCTTTAAGCAGGATCTGCTTTAGATGAGCTACTCACCCTAAAATATTAAGAATTGTCAAGCCATCAACTCAAATATACCAATTCTGTACATAACAGACCAAGGACTTTTAACCGGCATGCCCTGTTTCCTGTTGACCACTAGAGGGCGCTCTACGCATAAAGAACCTCTCTCCTATTTGGTTTTAGGTTGAATTTTCCCCCCTGAAGATTTCGCTTATTTGACCACTTGCCATTTAAAAATATGCTTAAAAAAGAGCAGGGGTCGGGTGTGCTCTCCATGAAGCTGTAAAAAGTGAGCCTTCAGCAGGGAATTATTTCTTCTTTAAACCACTTTGAAGTTGCTCCACACCAAACACACAGACCATGAATACACTCACTGCTCCACTGCTAAAATCCTTATTTTTTAAAAATATGTTTTTATTGATTTTAGAGAGAGAGGGAGCGTGAGAGAGAGAAACATCAATCAGCTGCCTCCTGCATGATCCCCTACTGGGGATCAAACACACAACCTAGGCATATGCCTTGACCGGGAGCCGAAACTGTGACCTTTTGGTACATGGGACCATGCTCAACCAACTGAGCCACAGCGGCCAGGGCCACTGCCCCAATGCTTTAACCACGATCTGTGCGCCGACGCCACTCACCCTGGGTTCCCACCAGCACCAGCGGGATCTCGCTCGTGCTCCGGTAGCTGGCCATCCGACTGTAGTAGTGGTAAACCGTCTGGAAGCTGATTTCATCCTCCAAGCTGAAGACAAATATGACAGCGTCCACCCACATGGCAAACTAGGGAGAGAAGAAGGGGAGGAGGCAGAGGAGTTGGCTGGAGGGGGGGG